TCGGCAGATAAGATGGCAAGCTGCTGGCTCACAGGCTGCGGAGGCTGATGAACCCCAAGGCTGGCAGATAAGACAGCAGGCCACTGACTCACAGGCTGTAGAGGCTGAGGAATCCCAAGATCAGCAGGCAATATGACAGGCAGCTGGCTCAAGTCCCAAGAACCAGAAGTCAGATGATGATGATCCGGATACAGGATTCAGAGCAAGCAAGTGAGCTTTGCCAGAACATCCACATATTTATTGGACGCAGGCCACACCCTCGAGGAAACTCCCCTTACAACTGATTGGCTGATGACATCAGATCACATCACAGAGGATGACTACAGTATTACATAACTTCCAAATTACATCGTTACATAATTGCCAAACCACTGAGAATCATGGCCCAGCCAAGTTGACACACAACCTTAACAACCACACCAATGATCTTTGTAAGAAATTACTATCAGCTGGAATGGACGTACAGTTCTCACATGGCTAAAGTATAAAAAAGCAGCTTCAAAACATGATATGGAAACGTCAAGAAGTGGAGATCAGAGAAGAAGAAGGTGGAAGAAGATAAAGACAGGTTGGGAAAAATTCTAAGTAATTGAAAAAGAAAACACACACACAATTTAGCATTTTACTTAGAACTGTTTAACAAATGACAATAAGATGAATAGCCAAAGCTATAGAGAGGGATTGCAGTGCCCTTCTAATGAAAAAAAAAAAAAAAAAAAATTACTTGGAATCAGATCTTCACAAAATATACTTTTTGTATCTAGAAGTTTTTTCATTTTTTCCTACTTACTTTATATGCTATTGCAACCATAGTTGTGGTTTCACTCTACCTACAATTTTGTACTCTGCTTTTTTAAAAAGCGAGAGAAAATTACCTGGAGATCTGCTCCAGTAAAGATCACAGCCTAAGAAACCCTATGGGGCAGTTCTACTCTGTCCTTTAGGGTCACTATGAGTTGGATCAACTCAATGGCAACAGGTTTGGTTTTTGGTTTGGTGAAACAGTTATAATTTTACTTAAATCCTGAATTAAAAAATTGTTTTCCTCCTTTTATCACTTCATCACTCTAAACAAAATAGAAAAGAATTGGGCTGGCCAGTTTTGCCTTGATTCCTTCCTTACACTAATCTACTAAATGTTTCTGTAGTATCCAAATAAGCTAATCCCTATTTCTACATGGAGTAAGCACTGCTCATCTCTGGCTGCAGCAGTATCATCTCCTAACTGCTATGGAGCTGGAATGGAGATTTCCCATTTGATTTAGATCCTAAGGACATAAATCAGGTCCATAAAAGAACATTCGCACATGTGGAAACCCATCATCAGGGATTAAAAACAGAGGTGTCTGGCAAGACTTTCAGATGCTACAAGGAGCTTAAAAAAAGAATGATGAAATCTCATACACTTTCCAGTTCACGCTATAAAAAGGAATAATCTTGGAAAAGTTTCGAGTAACTCCCAAGAAGTTCCACCATAAATTGCTGTGTGACCCAGAATAAATCTTTTAACCTCTCTACTTTTAGTTTCTTCATCTATATCACAATCAATAATTTCAAAATACTTTTAGAGTACCTAATCAAAAGTATTCCTCTCGACAGCCCCATAAAACAAAACAAGACTAATAGGGCACAACAGCCCAGGGACCAGGACTAGAAGGCAGGAGGGGACAGGAAAGTTGGTAATAAGGAACCCAGGGTTGAGAAGGGACAGTGTTGACATGTCATGGGGTTGTTAACCATTGTCATAAAACAATATGTGTACTGACTGTTTAATGAGAAACTATTTGTTCTGTAAACATCTAAAGTACAATAAAAAATTTTAAAGAAAAAAGTATTCCTCTTTTCCAGACTTGAGAACAGTCAATGTTTACTACTAAGACAGCATGTTTTCAACTAAAGCTCCCAAATGCTTACAATTTGTTTTTGAGCCCAAATGTGGAAGACCATTCACACTAAATGCTTAATGTGACTCATCCAGACCCTTCTTCACACTTTCAGCAGGGCTGTAGCTCTCACCTCAGTCCCGCCTACTCTAATTGCTGCCACACTCTTTAAAGAAGTGTACTGGAAATGCTCCTCTACAAAGCTGCTGTGTCTACAAACAGTAAGACATGCGAGAAGCTGCTCAGGTGAGAGCACAGAAGGAGGGCCTGGAGCATTGTGAAGCACGCCCTCCTGAGCACCATTCTAGTTGCTGCTCCAGCTGCTGAAGAAACACTGTGGCTACAGAATCCAACTATTCCTTCTACCTTGCCCTTCATACCAACACAGGCTCCTTGCTATACCTTTTTAACTCCAAAACCAAAACCAAGACTATCCCTTGGAAATAGTGAGAAATTCAACACTGGTTAGGTAAGTAAATATGTTAACAGAATAATTCTTCAGAGTGGGAGAGAGTAGCAAGAAGGTACAAGAAAGACAACCAATCTGAGAAGAATTCTATCTCAGCCTTTATTAAGTAGTAAGAAAAAATGTAAAGAAATAGCTTCTTAATCTTCAAAATAAGAGGTAAATATTATGTGTATTCAATAACTGGTGATTCAGTCAAAGACATTTAATGATATGATTTATAAAGATCTGAGGAAAAAACCCACCATTCTGGGTTGTCAGTCCCATTTCCTTTTGGTTATTTATAAAATGCTTCAAAATCAATACATAGAAGTAACTTTTAGAAACTGCATTTTTCACATAAGGAAAAGTCAGATAATGCTCATTGGTTTCTCTCTTCTACTAACTGCATGCCTATTTTTGTTTTATATACACATAAGTTTTTCCTTCTATTTCCCTTAAAGGTACACTTTCTTTCTTCTCCATCTCCATTTAAGGTTTATACTTCTTTAACTGTCTAATCAAACATTCTGTTACTAATACTAATAGGTAAGAAGAAAACACTGAATGACTGTCCTTCCATTAATCTAAATATATTGACTTTCAGGAAATCACTGAGAAAGAAATCAGGTTATTTGGAGGTAAATCCTCTATTTTCACTGACATGGATGTGAATGATGACTTCTTTTATTGTTTACTGGGTAAAAATTCCCTTTCCTTCTGAGAAACATATGCAGTAATATCTTCTGGGAGCTTCAGGATTCCAAGCCCCTAACTACTGTGAAATATTGAAATTACACTGGGAATTCCACGTGAGAGTCAGATTATAGCAAGAAATTGGAATTGGATCCCTAACACAGATCCTATTTATGAACTATAATCGTTTAGCCCAGACTCAACAAAAGGGAGAGGTGGTAAGGTTATCTATGGGCACCTGCCTGAAAGTGTTTCTATAGTCCCTTAAAGTGCTCTTGCACCACTCTTTGAAATACTCACGTTACAATCTCTTTGCCATAAAGTTTTCTGTCATATAAAAAACTTATTAAATATACTCATACAGTTTCCCCATCATAACCAGCTTCTGATTTAAAACACTGCCTTAGTTTTTGCAATCAACATGCACTAAACAATAGTCTTAAGGTGAACCTAGTTGGAAAACCAAAATCAAAATATTAAGGAAATGATTTTAATATATGAATTCTGAATCATTCTAAGCATGACAACAGTTTTCTTTCTCCTCTTTTATATTGTTTTATTTCTCTTTTGTCTCTAATAGTGTCAACATTTTAAGAACTAAATTAAGAACTGCCCCATAGGGTTTCCAAGGAGCAGCTGGTGGATTCGAATTGCCGACCTTTTGATTAGCAGCCCAATGCTTAACCACTGTGCCACCAGGGCTCTATAAACATAGAAGGTACACATTATTTATATAAAAATATGGTAATCTACAATTTTGTCTTTCATAACACTACAATCACTTTTCGATGTTACCATATAAGGTTCATAATTACCTTTTTAATTTGTTTAATGAAGTCCCATTAAATATACTACCATAATTTAACCATTAAATTCCTGTCAAATATTTGAGGTTTTGTTTGATTTGACAAATAATGCTACAATAACATTTTCATGAATATAGCTTTTCATTCTGTGGCATTCTTTCCTTAGTATGAATTTCCAAAGTAGGCTTTTTAGAGTAAGCATGAATTCTTTCATGACTTAGATTAGTTTTACCAACCTGCTTTCCACAAGTTTATACAATTTGTAGTTCCTCTACTAAGGTGCATAAATGTCATCTCCAACCTTCAGTATTAATATTAATATCTTACATTTATTAAGTGTTCACCTCATGTCAAGCACTGGGCTAAGGGCTGTATATATTATCTCATCGTCCTCAAATCTCTGAAGTAGCAACTATTAGTTACCCTCTTTTGCAGATAAGGAAGTTAAGGTTCAGAAAGTTTACAAGACATATCCAAGGTCACACAGCAAATAAATGATAGAACTTGGGACTCAAACTCAGATCTTGTCTAATGCCACAGTGCTCTTAATTACTTGGCTATATTGCTGCTTTACTCTTATTTTTTCCCCAAATAATAATAGCTGGGAAAACATATCTTCATCAGTGCTTTAATATGCACTGCTTTGATTACTAGCAAAGTTAATTGTTTTCATATGTTGGTTAAAAAACTATATTTTCTCTGAGGTGGAAAGGGAAAGGGGGAGAGTGCTGACACAATGCTGGGACTGCAACCAATGTCACAAAACAATTTGTGTATAAATCTTTGAATGAGAAACTGATTAGCATAATAAACTTTCCCTAAAGCATAATAAAATTTTTTAAAAAAGAAATAGAAAATAACAGAAAAAACTATTTTCTTGTGTTATTTGTTCATATTATTTAGCATCATCTATAAAGTGGTAGGAGCAATTTCTCTCTCTCTCATTACCTACTCCGTTCAAATTTCTCTTTTGCTAACTAAGATAAAGACTGAAATATATAGGGTTTTTTGTGAATATGTGATCCAAACAATTTGGCCATCATTCAAAACTTACCTCTCTCATGTACAAAAATATCATTAAAACCCCATCTATGGTTTAACTAGTAAGCAAACCTGGATTTACCCACTAAATCTAAACTTTAATAATTCTATTGAAAAATATGCCGTTACCTGCATTATGTCTCGCAATATATCCAAGTGCCCAGGCTGCAGCCTCCTTGACTCCAGGGTCAAAATCTTCTAAGCATATCACCAATGTATCCAGTGCTCCACAATCAACTATTGCCTGAGCTAGCTGAGGAGAATGTTTACCAACTGCTCGTAACACAAAGGCAGCTGCTTTCTTATAAAAACGCTACAATGGTAAAATAGACAAAATTCAAAGTGAATCAAACATTCATATATAATCAAAATTTAAAACAGACCAAAGCCAATGTAAAAATGATATTAATATGAATTCAATGAAAATTCAACAGCTTTTAAATACAAAAGATGAAAACTGTGCAAAATCATTTTGATTATTTGATATTCCCCTATTACTTTTGTTCAGTAACAGAAAACAAGTTTTAAATTACATGTCAAATGTTTTACCCTAAAATGTGCATTTAGAAATTATATAAAGTAAAATGTAAACATTATACTTTCCACAAATTCATAAAATAATGAGATAATTTTATGTATCTGCATTACCCTGAAAGGTATTTGTTTGGCCCATGGGAACTCTGAGATTGTTAGCATGTGCAACTAAACTCCCTGTCAACTGACTAATTCGTTTCCTTTACTTGCCCTCAGTCTCTAAGCATGGTAGGCCTTTCATGACCTCAACTAATCTTTCTGATGTCTCAAGTTATCCTGAAAAAACAACCATGTTCCAGATGCACTTACCAATCACTGAATAAACATAAAGGCAAAACATTCATGATTACATTGTAAAATTTTTCCTGGCAAATAAATTAACCAAACAATGGATATAAATTATTAATTATGCCTTATTAGAAATGCTTTTTTAAAAAGATAAAAACAAATTTAATGTGAATTTTAAACACTGCTTTATAGTTTCTTTATAAAGTTCATCTGATTATGGAATGATCAATTTTTAACTGAAACATAAAACTAACATATTTCTCTTATCCTTCCCCTAATTAAATGTATAGAAAATACTTGGCTACTACACTCAACTGTTGTTTTATAGTTAGCCTAATGACACAGTAATGGTCTCTTAACTCTTCCTTTTATTAACAGAACCCAATTAATCACCCGTTTTAGATTCTGAGTTTCTACTTCTTTACAATGACTACCGAAAAGTGACTATGTGACTACAACACCTATCTTGAAAGCATTCTATTTACTTAGGCTAAAATATTAAGATACAATAAAAATTATCGGAAGAAAGGAAAGCACATAAAGTATATTTTTAGCACACAAAATATCTCAAGAAATAGTATGTTAATAATTTAAGAAATATGTTAGTATTGATATTATTTTCTCCATTTTTTAAATGTTAATATATTAACATACATAATATAAATGTTGATTATAAATTCAAATAATATTAATATAAAATATTAAAATGTTTGTTACAAAGTTTAATTTTACATACCAGTAATCTATTGTACTGAATTTACTGTAAAAACTAAGGTAGAGTTTTAAAACAGCTTTCCATAGATTACTTTCTTACAATTGTGTAAAATAGTGGTGATACGTTCTTTGTCATTACCTAGATAATTTGACTTTTCATATTATAGAATTTTCAGATTCACAATATACTTGGCATAAGTGGTTACTACTAACTGCAGTGCCTATAATTCACTCTCTCATCTCATTCCCCCTTCTCCTAATTTCTGCTTCTCCAAATTCTAAACTCTCTTCTTTCTCGCTCTTCACCAAAAGAAATATCTTCCAAAAAAAAAAGCAAAACCAGAGGACTTTGTACCTCATAAAGAAGAGGTTCACGTCTCCTGTGAGAAATGACTTATAGGACTGGTAGGTGGAAGGAGACAGAAGCTTGTGAATAATGCTTCACAGTCTCACTTCCTCCTCACTTTTGTCCCCTAGTACTTTTTTTTTTCTTTTTTTTGGTCTCTTTTCAACTAATGTCCATTCATTCACTTAGAAAACTTCTATTGAGAACCTTCTATGTGGGGATACCAAAACACATCTGCCCTCAAAGGAAGAGGTTAAAGAGTCTTTGATGGGAGGAACATCCATAAGAAAAATAAAATTTTTTCTAACTTAAAGAGCAAAATGGTCATTAGTAAATGACTCTCCAACTTACAAACTAAGGCAAATTTCTACACAAATAGGAAGTTATTTAATTGTGGTAAACTATACATAACATAAAATTTACCGTTTTAACATGTACATTCACAATGTTGTACAAATATCACCATAGCTAGATTCAAAACTTTTTCATCACCCCAAAAGAAAACTCCATGCCCATTAAGCAGTCACTCCCCATTTTCCTCTTCCCCCAGCACCCGGCCACCACTAATCTGCTTTCTGCTTCTGTGGATTTGCATATTCTGTATATTTCATGTAAATGGAATCATTCAATACTTAACCTTTTTGTGTCTGGCATCTTTCACTTAGCATAATGTTTTCAAGGTTCATTCATGCTGTAACATGTATCAGTACTTCATTCCTAGTTGTTGTTAGTTGCCATCGAATTGACTTCGACTCATGGCAGCCCCATGTGTGCAAGGTAGAACTACACCAGAGGGTTGTCAAGTCTGTAACCTTTTGGAAGCAGATTGCCAGGCCTGTGTTCCTAGGCACTACTTGGTGGGTTCAAATTACCAACCTTTCAGCTAGTAGTCAAGCGCTTAACCATTTGCACTACTCAGGGACTCCCATTTTGACTGAGTAGTATTCCACTGCATGTATACACCATATTTTATTTCTCCATTCATCAGTGGATGGACATTTGGGTTGTTTCCACCTTTTGGCTATTGTGAATAGTGCTATGAACATTTGTGTACAAATTGTGAACATGTGTATACAAAAACTTGTGTTCAAGTTTTTGTTTGAACACCTGTTTTCAAGTTGTATGGGTATATACCTAAAAGTGGAATTGCTGTGTCAAATGGTAATTGTATGTTCAACTTAATGAGGAATTGCTAAACTGTTTTCCACAGTGACTGCACCATTTTAAATTCCCACCAGCAATGTATGAGGGTTCCGATTTCTCCACATCTTTACCACACTTGTTATTTTCCACTTTTATTATTACGGCCATCCTAGCAGATGTAGTTTTGATTTGCATTTCCCTGATGACTAATGGCACTGAACATCTTTTCATGTGCCTGTTGGCCATCTGTATGTCTTCTTTGAAGAAATATCTGTTCAGGTCTTTTCCCTGTTTTTAAACTGGGCTGTTTCTCTTTTTGTTATACAAATAGGAATTGAATCTTAAAGATATGTCAAGAAAAGTATATCCCTAGGTAATGCTAAACTAGCTGAGTGGAATGAACAACCCAAGAAGGTCCTTAACTATTGTGGAAACCAAATAGGTGGTGCTGAACAGAAATACAAAATGGCACCAGATAGGAGGGAGAAAAATAGTGCATTCTTAGATGATCCTTCAAAGGGCTGGCATGCTTGTATGCTTGGTTAAAAAAAAAAAAAATGCTTTATCAAACTTGCCATTATACATATTCTCTTCTTCCTTTTGGTTGCTTCTCTCCCCCTTCCTTTAAGTCTGTCCCTTACCGTTCCCATTAACCTGATTTCACCTGCATGTAAGGACTACTGAAACCAACTTTTTTTTTGCACAGGACCCCCACTCACCCCTAAGACTGATCTTACAACTTTGTTTAAAACTCTCATACACAGAAATTCTGCTTTATGTATAATCCTTAAAATTAATTTTAAGTAAGTGTTTTTTATTTTAAATAAATATTAATTGTAAGAAGTTATACATAAAGCAAAATTAAATCTTTTTTCCCGTTATATAAACAGTAATGGGGAAAAACTGCATCATCAACCCCAAAGCCTGAAGATGTTATTATGCACAGTTCAGAGAACTGAAGGTCATGTTAACACTCTAATAGTTCTAACACATACAAGTATGGAACTATATCCAAACTATCAATTTTTAAAATCTAAAACAAAAAACATATAACTTTTTTTTTTTTTTTTAATTCTTACATTCTGTTCTGCCAGTGAATAAACAAGCTGTGGAAGAATGTCACCCTTCACAACTGCTTCTGCTAGGTCATCATTATAATTAGCCAGTCTCCCAAGAGCCAAAGCTGCAGTCTGTTGAATTGTTGGGACCACATCCAGAAGAAGAGGCCTCAGCAAAGACATTACACCTGAGTTAAATTATGAATGAACAGAAATCAGCAAAATTTAATGAAAAAGCAAACACACAATTCAGTGTCTATGGAGACAAGAAAATTAAGGGAAAAATCAAAAAATTAAAATTAAAAACAAATAACAGTTGCTGTTGAGTCAACTCCAACTCATGGTGACCCCATGTATGTCAGAGTAAAATTGTACTCCAACTGTATTCCATAGGGTCTTCAATGGCTGATTTTTCAAAATTAGATCATCAGGCCTTTCTTCCAAGGCACCTCTAAGTGGACTCAAAATTCCAATTTTTCAGTTAGCAGCCAAGCATGTTAACTGTTTACACCACCCAGGGGCTCCATGTATTCACTAAAAATGGGATAACAGGAAGCATCTATCTGGCCAATACACTGACTAATAAAACCTGTAATTATCAAAGATGCAGCACTGAATGGAAATAACAAAGGCTCTGTAGTTAGATAAGAATTTAAATCCCTGATTCAGCATATATTATGTGACCCGATAGTGTTGTCATGAGAAATGCAGAAAAAGGTTGTAAAGCTTACTGTATAATGCCTAGCATATGTCTAGTGCTCAAAAAAAAAAAGTAGGTTTTTATCTCAGCTTTTGCAAATCTTATCTTTCAAGGCTCAGTTCAGGTGCTTTCTTCTCAATGAAGTCTTCCCCAGTGACCTCAGTTTGGTCTTTTCTTTGATTCCAATTGCACTTACAGTTTATTACAGAAATTTTAACAGGGTCTATATCAGCAAAGGAGCTAAGAGAACCATTTTGCTAGAGTCTCACATTCATGAGAGCTGCAAATAAAGATTTCTGACATTATCTCCAAATAAATAAATGAGTTCCTTGAGATGACATATATCTTATTACTAGCTCTCATAATACTCACCCCAGAGTTGAATAGATAGTAGGTCACATCATCATCATCATAACAGCAACAATAATAAAAGTAGCTTATATTTATTGAGCATTTATTATATACCAAGAATCATTCTAGGAATTTTTAAAAATATTAGTTCATTTAACCCTCATAGCAAACCTGTGAAGTAGGCCCTGTTATCTCTATTTCACAGATAAAGAAATTGAGGCTGAGGAAGGTAAATTGTCAAAGTAAATGTGGAGCCAGGTAAGAAATATAGACATTCTTTATTGATAATTGTTAAATAAATAATATGTACTGAAACAATGGTGAGGTGGGGAAAGGAAGATAAATCATAATTACATTGTGGTCATTTCAGTGAATACTCCAACTATTGATACTAGTTTTACCTTACTATAAAATATGCAAGATAGTCAACTGCTATTTGTTTTAATGATGGTGTTTTAGCCTAAGGTTACAATCAAGATAATGACAGAATTTGAACTGACTGGAATATAATACCCTTGACTTTCTAAACTTAATTTACACCAAGCTAGTCAACTTGAATAAGGAACTCTGGTTGTGCAGTGGTTAAGCACTTGGCTGCTAACGAAAAGGTCGGCGGTTCAAACCCACCAGCCGCTCCACGGAAGAAAGATGTGGCAGTCTGCTTCCATAAAGATTTACAGCCCTAGAAACCCTATGGGGTAGTTCTACTCTGTCCTACAGAGACTATCAGTCGGAATTGACTTGATGGCAACAGGTTTGGTATTCAACTTGAGGCTGTTACATCTTTTCTTTATAAAAAAACCCCAGTGATACATAAAAACAAATATTTTATAAATGTTATATACAGAAATGTTTAAAACAGAATAAAAAGAAAACATTTACATTTAGGATTAGAGCAAAATGAGAAAATAAATAGCATTACCAAATAACACAAGCAGGAAACAATGACGCTTATCACAGATACATTTAATGATGTGACCGGTGGCTTTCATACCTTCCAATTTCATTTAGTCTTTATATCATTTTTATGTCAAGTTAGCTTGGTTAGATCATCTTACATAAGGCCATAGTTGCAAGTTTGAATCCCAATCAGGCTGCTTAATTAACTTTGTTCAGTTTTACAGGAACATAGCACTAACACTTAGGTCACAGCCTAGACAATTGTGTGGATAGCTCATGTTAAACAAATTTATATGTCTATGTTTGTGGGTTTGTTTATATTATTATCTGTATTTTTTATATGGATAACTTCAGAAACATCTCACAACAAAAAGTTTAAACTGCAGAATAAGGTATTAGAATGATGACTGTCAAATGTTAAGACAGGGTATTTCTGGAAAGTTGGATTTAAAACAATTTGATCTCTTCTTTGTAGTTTGCTTTGTTAGTTGATATTTTTTATAATATATATAATGTTAAGTAAAATAGTAGTCATTACTTCAAAAGAGAAAAGCTGAATTTGTTAACATATTTAAAGTTTCATAATAAAGTTTCATAATAAATGTATTAATTAGGTCAAAAAACATAAAGTATTTAAGTATGCTTAAGATAGTTGAAAAAAGAATCACAATTGTTTCATGTTAGTTATTTTTTCCTGATCATTTTGGTATTTTTTTTTTCTCACTTGACATATTTATGTGAAGGCAGTAGCTTATTATTTCTTGAAACATAATTGGGAAATCAATCCATACTGGGTTATTCAATAAGATATTTTCAATTAAATTCCAAGAACTCTGAACTTAAGAATTGGAACAACGGATTAATTTGTCTGACTGTATAATATTTAATTATATATTTATTATTAGTTACATTATTTAGCTAATCTATCACAAATGTCCCAATTTTGCAAGATTTCCACTTGCAATTTTAGCAGTAAAATATTTTGCTCCCTGCCTCTCTCCCAAAAAGATATTTCAATTGTTTATATACTCAAAGGCATTTTCTGCTTTATATACTTCCCCCTTCATTTTTCTACGGCATCTGGCTGATGAAATATAAGGCCAATAAAATGACTCACAATTTCTTTCCTTCTATTCCAGTATCCAACACCAAAGTTGTATGGATATGCCTGCGCTATCATACTTTTCGTATATTCCTTAGTTCAAATAATAGCACGAGAATTTTGAAAAATTTAAAAATCTCAAACCCTATAAAAGTAAAAGCTAAAGTGTCAGTCTGAAATATCTTTATTTGAATACGGTCATCTTCATTGGAGAACAAAATAAATTATCATAAATACTGCCCCAAATTTCTATTTCTTGAATTGCCACTTAGTGCTTCATTATCATCAGTTCCCAAGTGCTTCTCTTTCTCTAAAGGGATCTGTTTTTCCTTTTTACACAGATTAGCCATGGAGACTTTGTTATTCTAATTATAGGTTTGTCCTAAAAACAAGGAGCCCTGGTGGTGCAGTGGTTAAAGGTCGGCTGTTCGAAACTACTAGCAGCTCCATGGGAGAAGGATGTGGCACTCTGCTTCCGTAGAGATTTACAGCCTTGGAAACCCTATGGAGTTGCTATGAGTTGGAATCGCCTCAACAGCAGTGGGTTTGGTTTGGTCCTAAAAATACACATAAAATCCAAGAGGAATTGAAAGATAAAAAGAAGGAAAAAAAGGGGAAAGAAGCATACATAACATATACAAAAAAAATTTTTTCTTACCTTCCTGCCCATTAGGAATCCAGAGATCTATGGTGAGTGAATGCATGAAAATTTAGAGTCCATAAACTACAGCAGTTTGAATAGTTACTAAAATATCTGATAAACAAGGCCACTAGTGAGGAGTGATGACCTTATTGGGGTCTCCACTAAAGGACCCAACAGGTACTATCTAATATTATATTCAATATTAAAAATAATCATATATTATTCCCTAATATCTAGAAAAAGGAGCCCTGGTGGCACAGTGGTTAAGCGCACAGCTGCTAAATGAAAGGTTGGTGGTTCGAACCCACCAGCATGCTCCGTGGGAGAAAGATATGGCAATCTGCTTCCATAAAGATTATAGTCTTAGAAACCCTACAGGTTCTACCCTGTCCTATAGGTTCACTATGAGTCAGGATTGACGAAACGTCAATGAGTTTGGTGGGTTTAGAATACCTAGAAAACAACTCTATAAAAGCTGATTAAAAGGTGTGAAAATATTTTGAAATTTAACTTATAGGATAAATCTTTATGATGTCCTCCTCTCCAACTTATAGCTTTGAGTTCCTTTTCTATTTTTCTCATTCTAGTGCCATATTAGAGACACTGCTTCTAATACTTACACTGCAATTCAGTTATGTGAAAAAATAAATAAGCTTGCTAATACTGTCCATAATCATTCATTCAAAAAACAGATTAGGGGTTACCAAGTAGCAAGCAATAGGAATACATTTATGAGTTAAGGCAGCTCTTACTCTCAAGAAACTAACAATCTAGTGGAGACTGGAAAATAGCCACAACTCTTTCCTTTAATTCCTTATACAATGTAGGACAAATTTTTGCATGCCATTGGCATATATAAATCATCAGGAAGAAAAACGTCAAACATTTCCAATGAAAAAAAATTCATTCATTCTCATATTACCAAAATCAAACCCATTGCCATCAAGTTGATTCCGAGTCATAGTGACCCTACAGGACAGAGTAGAACCACCCCATAGTGTTTCCAAGGCTGTAATCTTTATGGAAGCAGACTACCACATCTTCCTCCTGCAGAGCAACCGGTGGGTTCGAACCACCGACCTTTCAGTTAGCAGCTAATTGCTTTAACCAGTGTGCCACCACAGCTCCTTATTCTCATATTACATGTACATAGTTTATATATATATATATACATATATATATATAACCTCTTTCTACTGTGATATATATAAAACCTCTTTCTACTGTGTTTTATACAGATATTTAACATCTCAACTTTGTTCTACAAACTGGGACTTCGTATCCATTTGAGTCATAGTATAGACATCTAGTTGCTGGTTACCTCTTCTTTGTTTTTTTAGCTCTTAAAGTGATTTCTACCACATAATATTATGGAATGAAATAACAAATACCACAGAATGAATAATTTATTCACCAAAAATATCTATTAAGAATATACAAGGTACATTCATGTTGTGGAATATATCAGGACTTCATTTCTCTTTATGGCTGA